CTCTAAGAGTCAAGTAGATGCAATGGAATATTCAAAAATGTATATTGAGAATCGAGACTGGTGGATTTTGTTGATGGGATGCTGTAACAGTCAAGTAGATGCAATGGAATATATGACATAAATGTTTTTCATACACAGGGAACCACCAATGGACAACACTCATTGTCTTAGTGTAATATGAGTGAGATTAGTCTTCATGCTTATGTGAATGGTGATCATCATCATCATCATCATCATCATCATCATCATCATCATCATCATCATCCGTTGTTGTCTTCTTTTTGTCTGTAGTCTCGTTCCTTTCATTTCATTTTGCCCAAGCCCACTTCAGGACTAGAAACTCTACAAGTGGACATACCTGGATAAAAAATAGGTTTAAAACCAAGAAAAAATCAACCTTTTTGCAGGCTCTAAATTATCAAGCGATTTACACTACTGAACAGTGAGGACAGAACAACGTATGTTTCAAACTTTGCATTCGGAAATTTTTTTGGCGTGTTTTCCCTTGCTCTGTGCTATCTCATTGTGGTTTGCTCATATATATATATGTTCATGTTTGCTTCTCCTTTCTAGATTTAATCTTTAGAGAAGAAATTTTGACTTGACATTCCATTTCTTCGGGGACAAAAACTGAATAGGTAAAGATACTTCTTTTTTTTTTTATAGGTAAAGATACTTCACTGGTATGCAAGAGATAAAAAGCAAGGGTGTCCCAACACGGATGCTATGAAAGAGGAGATTCAAAGAGTTAAGAAGCAAGAGGAACAAGCCATGATGATAGGCATGAGGAAAGAAAAAACATGACTCTGATTCTGACTAAATTAATCTGTACTAATGTGTACCTTCGCTCGTTTCTTGTTCAAGTCATGGAGTTGTAGTCCCTTTCTACTTTAATAAGGCCAGTGTTAAAAAAAAAAATGAAACTAATCAGTGTTATTTTGTTGAATATTGATGGAATTCGTTTGGAAAACTGATCTAATATGTGTTAAATGACAAGGCGAAAGTGAGGTGATGTTCATGTAACGAAACAACTCATGTTTCAGCTCACCAAGTCCATTGGCCTAGGCGACCAGTCTTTAAAGAAAAGAGGCGTCAAATTGACTCCGATTGGTAAAAACTTACATCTCACTGTTGTGGTGTTGTTATTGACAGCTGAAATTATTTATTTCTCAGAGGACAGGGCAAACAAGAATACCTCAGGAAGATAGAATCTATGAGAAGAAATGTAAACCAAAACCAAATTTTTGGTAATCGGAAACAAAAAAATGAAACAAGTGATTCAGAGCTTGTACTGTTAACCAACAGTTATGGATGTGCACGTGAGTCCAAGGTTTATTATGTAGTAATCATCATCCAAGGAAGGGTTCATTACTTCATTTGATCAACAGCTGAACCTTTCTCAAAGGAGAAGTCTTCGAACATCCTCAAAGTTTGAACGCAGTTCAGACAGAAACGAAGCTGAAACGTAACCGGTATCATAATAAAACAATAAGTAACACAGTGAAGACACCAGTGAATGCAAAAATGGAAAGTGTACTACTCTCTATTACCTCCAACTTGTCCATCAAAGATCCGATGATCAGCCGATAGTGTCACATTCATTTTCGATACAACCGAAGGCCTCTCAATTCCTGAAACAATGACCAAAAAAACTTGTCATTGACGAATCAAAAGAGGGCTGAAAACTCAGAAGGATGTTACTAGCTGTCTCACCATCTATTCCAATCACTGCCTCAACAACTTTATTTCCTCTACCAACTGCTAGAATTCCAGCCTGCAAGACAATTGACGCTGGTGAGTTTTATCACGACAAAAGTCAAACACACAAAAACGTACTCTTCCACCTCTCGTTTAAGGGTGCATCCTTAAAGTTATGATTACCTGAGGAGGGTTAATGATTGCGCAGAATTGGTCTACAGGATACATTCCAAGGTTTGAAATGCTGTAAAAACGATATAGAGGGTTTTCTTAGTGAGTAGGGAAAAGTTTCAGACGATGCTTTAAGAACTTAAGTATGATATGGATACCTAAATGTCCCTCCTTGAAACTCATGAGGGGCAAGCTTTCCAGATCGCGCCTTTTGTGCCAGCTCCTTAACCTACACCACAAATCATTTAAGAAAATCAGCACATGACATATGGGTGAGAACTGATCAAACAAGTGTGCTCTGTAGCTAGGCGTATTCATTAAAACTCAGAGAATACATTACCTCTAAGGAAATAGCAGAAATAGATTTCTGGTCTGCATTCCTGATAATTGGAGTCATTAAGCCCTGCAACACGTGCCAAGATGAGAAGGGATTAACTATTCAAGTAATCTGAAAAGCCAGCACAAGAGTGTACCTTCTCAGTTGCAACTGCTATTGAAATGTCAACATCCTTGCACATAACAATTTCTCCTTTCTCAGCATCCCAGAATGCTGCAAGACAATAAGACAAAACACTTTAAACAACCCCAAAAAGGTTTTAAGCAAGCACAAGGAAAGATACCAACCAAATGATTGCACTCCACAGATCATTACATAAAGTGAAAACATCCTACTCGTAACAGCTAAAACCGAATTAGACAATGCATTACAAGTCCGTCCAGCTACCTCATACATACATACTGAATTCTCTAAGCGAAGGCATGTGGCATTGCACTTATTATGATTACATTACATTACTTGTAGTAGCATCACTTTTACAAGGAGAAATAATTTCTCACCATTAGCTTGTCGTACATTCCTCAATGCGACTGCCACTGCTTTAATAACTATGTCATTGACCGACACTTTAACACCATGGTTTTCTGCAGATCATAAAATCCCAGTTCAATCTGAGCCTCTCAAGTTGTCACAAAAACAAAAAGAGGTTAAGGAACAGCCCACAAACCTAGAAGTTCTTTTCTGAATGCAAGAAGAGGATCCAATACAACATCTGCAGGCGCACAAAATTGCTTAGACACAAAATAAAATACACAAAGAAAACACAAAGTTTGTGAAGTACTAACCTGATGATAAATACAAATGGGGTATCTTCTGTTTTGATTCCAATAAACGTTTAGCTATAATCTGTCAACAGGGAAAATCAAAGAGAAGTCAGGATATCATTGTGATCCTAGTAGCAAAGTTCAATGCTGAAAGTATGTTTCCCTTGAGTGATGGAACATATTCGCTCCATTATCAGTAGCTGTAGATTAGAAACAAACTACTAACAGCCATTGATATAGCCAACATCTAAACGAATACAGATCAAGGGAGTTGCAACCAAAAGTTTTTGCCATTTATCTTTGTACAATTTCATGGCTATGTCAAATGAACCGTTCCATAGCATGCAGAATGTGATCAATATAACTTAAGGTCAACCTTGACTACGTATTTATCAGCTCATAACAGCATACATTGAGTAGTTATTTCATCTAAACCTCCGCAATCAAACGAATTGAAACATGCAGATCTAGCTTTTTGATGGCGGTTTCTCTAAATTAAGTGCTATAAAACCTTTGAAAGCCAGCATATTGTACAATGTAGTAAAAACAGCCTTATCACCTTCTTTCCGCAAGAAAGACTGCTTTACAGGATACATTTTATTATTATCAGCGAAGAAAGAAATAATGTTGATTACCTTGCGAATTTGACTATTGGGAAAATCTTCATAATCATCTGATGATGTAACAGAAGACTTTGATTCAGGCCGCGATACGGAAGAGGATTTAGTTATGTTCTCCTTCGACGGCTGTTTCTTCTCCGTCGACACTGATTTTTTAGATGCTTTTCCAGAAGCAATTGCGGCAACAACGTCTGATTTCAGTAATGTACCATAGGGACCCGAGGCCTCAATCGATGATGCCTCCAATCCATGTTCTAAAATCAAATTCTTTGCTGCAGGACTTATCTTTGTGAAGCCTGCTTTCTTCCCTCCGGATTTATCTACAACACTTGGAGGGGCTTGTTTTTCTGTCTCAACTTTAGAACCACCTGTGGAAGAAGACTTGATGGCTTCAATACTTTCAGCATCTTCAACCTACACAGAAGAAGAATTAATCTTTAATATGCCCCAATCAGTAAGCAACTGTAATTTCAAAGATTTTGTGTGCAAGTATTAATTTACTTCAGGTAACACATAACGTACAATGGAACTAAAAGAGCACATACTGTAGTAAAAATGGCTACATAGAGGCTATAAGAGTGTATAGATGTTATGCACAAAATGTGCATAACATAAAGGCTGTTAAAACATATGGGTTCAATATACGAGTACAATACAGTTTTCTGGCAAGAAAATCAGTCAATGTACTTCTGAACTAAAGGACTTACTATAAGTGCAATCGGCTTTCCAACAGCAACATCTTTGGAACCTTCAGGAATTAGAATCTTAGCCAAGTACCTACACAATAATTCATCCATCACGTTATAATTTATTAAGAGAAAGTTATTCATCAGAATATGAATGTAGCAGTTCAGGTAAGTCTTCTTTTATGGTGGTGGCACATGCTCATGGGATTATCAGTTCAGGGAGAACACTCAGACAATATCTGACCTTCTTTTTGTAATTAATATTTTTTTCACTTAAACCCCCCAAAAAAAGAGAACCAATATTCACAGATTATGAATGCTGCTATATAGAACGAACATCACCAAGCTGCCTAGAAAAATATATATGAACATCACCAAGCTGCCTAGAAAAAGATATATCGTTTATGCGCCAAGGGATTACTTATAGGAATAAGACGACAAGAAGTTTAGTATACCCTTCTTCAAGGCTTTCAAATTCCAGTGTGGCTTTGTCAGTCTCGATCTCACCTATGACATCACCTACTTCAATCTGTTGACCAGGAAATGAGAAAAAAATCAATACATGCAAACGCCTAACACCCGATTACTTGTGGTAAAGTACAATGCCAATTTACTCTTCAGTTTTGATCACCATAAACTAACCTTGTCACCCTCTTTTTTCCACCACTTGGCAATGTTACCTTGGTTCTGCACATCAATAAACAAATAAATGATAAAGAGTCTCAGGATAAAAGAGGTTCATCCAATATAAGCTAGCAAAATGTGTTAATATCATACCATTGTGGGAGAAAGTGCTGGCATTTCTAAGACAACATGTGGGGGAAGATCTGATGCATCAGGCTGAATTGCATCTTTTTGTTGTGTACTCTCTTCAGGTTTCATCTCTTGATGAGCTGATGTTTCCTTTTTACCAACTTGTCCATCCTCTACGGTAGCAGAAACGTTTTGAATGTCATCTTCCTCCTCAACCTTCATTACAATTATATAAGATTAAGAATGACTTCTTTATCCATCAAAAATTATGCAGCAATATGCTGACCAAAAGCACGACATAGATGAGAGCTCATTTGTATGAGGTAATAAAGAAGAACGAACAGTACGAAGATTGGATACTGGTCACTTTTGCCACAATAAACATTGATATAGCAACATTAAAGATTTATATGAATTGTTGAGTCCTTCAGGATGCAAACCCAGGGAACATAACAGAACAAAGAAAAAAGAACTCCTAATGAGCATATGCCAATAACTGCATCGCCTGTTGCGAAATCATACTTGGTTTTTAGATGAATAAGACAGCCATTGTGCTTACCATTATTGCAATCGGTGCATTAACGGGAATATCCTTTGATCCTTCAGTTACTACAATCTTGGCCAGAAATCTACAGAACCATGCCTCACTGTAAGCTAATTGAGAATTGCATATACTTATGATGAGGCAGATATTTGAATTACCGAGGTGAGGAATAGAAAAAACAGAAATTTAAAAAGCACGAAATTATGAACCGGCTTTTCAGAATTACCCTTCTTCCTGACTCTCAAGTTCTACAGTGGCTTTGTCTGTCTCTATCTCACATAGTACATCGCCCACCTCTACCTGTCAGGAAGAACCAAAATTCAAACCAGTTACTGAGAAATTCCACGTTCTATACCATCGACTGAATTTTTGCCAACCAAAAACAAGAAAAACCCTACCTTGTCACCTTCTTTCTTCAACCATCTCGCAATATTACCATGACTCTGCAAAAGCCCAAAAGAAAAAAAAAAATTAAAAACACTGACTTCTTGCAGGAAAGCCAAACATTTTTACACGATTGAAGTCCAATTTCCTAACCATTGTAGGAGACAAGGCTGGCATTGTAAGAACTGTCTGTGGTACAGGTCCTACAGCCAAAAGACAAATCAAATTAAAGGAAGAATCTTGTATGATCAATTGCATCTTCCGCCGCTATATAATGTAAGATGGAAGCACAAGCAGCAGAGAAAAGAGTTTCATGGGCGGGTTTTGCATCTGCCTCAACCAACAATTTTCTTTTTACTATAAGAGATATTTCTGTCTTGGTGATATTTGTGGCTAAAACAATTATACAATTATCAGTAGGTTAATTTATAATATGAAAGCCCCGTATAGCAGCTGGTTTAGTAATTCAATTGTGGAAACCTTTATAGACTAACTGATAAAGATCTTTATTCCACTAGAGGACATAACAATCTATGAATACCTGATGATGAGAAGTTTTGCATGCCAAAACGCAGCTATAAGAAAATGAAAAGAAAAGTATGTTAGAAACAGGAACAGATGAAAATAAGAAGATAAAGAAAAAAAGTATACTAACTGTAAAGCTTACAATGGAGTTTGGATGACTATTATCCATTCTTGTAATCATATCTCTCGAGGCAGACCTAAAAATATAGAAACACACAAAATCATATAAGGACAAACATTTATTCCCACCAAATTTTTAACAAGAACGGATCAGTGGATACGGATATATTTAAGTGGGCTGTGAATAACAAATACGAACTGAATTACATAGCCTTAACTTATGTATAAACAAAATCTTAAACCCTGAATGCCTATTGATCCCCCTAGTTTCTATATGAATTAAAGCTTGTCCTCAATTTCCATCAGAGACCATCATTGTATAAACAAACTCAAACACCTCGACTAACAAAAAATGTACAGGATAGATAGAAACAAACCTAGAGAAATGAATAGACTGTACAATTTTGATAAAAAAACTTTTCTTGCAACCAATCACCAGAAAATGTGATATGAAACAACACACATACCTCGCAGCACCATGACTGCTTCTAATCGTGTCGTCCAAGTGGTATACTCCATTAGAAAATCTGAATCAGAGAGTTTAATTAGAAAGCTAAAGAAATCATCTCGTAATTAAAACAAAAAAAAAACAAAAAAAAACTGGCCACTCTTTTTTAACATCACTATACGATACGCAAATAAGAGCTCTAAAAAAAGTCAATGGAGGATTGCCGAAAAAGAGAAAACGAAATCGAAAAGTTCGGTTATTAAATAGCCAATGATCGGAAAATGGATGAATCAACATCGGAAAATCGAGAGATAGAGAGGTGAGGCGTACCGAGTGTGGAATCCGGAGGCAGGAGCGAGAAGACGAGCTCTGAGAAGCGAAGAAGTGCGTGCGATCGCTGCGCGGCGGAGGAGCGGAAGCACCATGACGGCACTTCGAGAGAATATGAGGGAGGAGGGTTCGGGGGAATCGCAAAATGGGAGAGAGAAACGATGAAATCGAAAAACTTTAGTTTTTGGTCAGAGATCGAATTCGCCAGCGATGGCATGAAACGAAAGTGTTTCAGATTCCGGTCAGGTCCGGTCTGGGTTGAAATACTAGTAATCGCTACTATCTACTGAACCGGAAAACCAAATTAATTCATTATTTAATACTTTGGTTTGAGTCTGAGAACCGGAGATTTTAGTGGTTTTGGGTAGAGTAGCGAACTGTAAAACCGATTTTAACCAGTGCCCTAAGGGTTTTGTGATTTGTTTTCTTTCAACAAGCGAGCTAAATCCTTAACTAGGTGATTTTCCCGTGCTCATGCACGGGTATAAATATTTTTAAATTAAATATATAATAATAATTGATTATTATTTACTTTTAATTTTAAATTATTTTATAATTTGTATGCATCATTTATATTAATAGTATTATATTACTTTACTTATACTATAATTTTATATATGTTATATCCAGTCAATTTTGTTGTTTTACGTTTGGTTTAGTTATCATTTGGATAAATTGGATTGCATCTCTGAATTCAACAGTAATATTTTTATAATATATTAATTTTTAATTAGTTACTTATTTGCATATGGTGGGTGTTGTCTTAGATATGTAAATATATTTTAGGAAAATTATGTATAACTTAAGATATATTGTGCTTAGAATGAATTAAAAATTAACTAAAGTGTCTGATTCCAAAATACGTAAATTAATATAACGAAAATATTCTAAAGTCTCATGGATATATATAAA